GTGTACTGTATTTCGGCACCGATCAATTAAGAATGGTACTCTATTTTCCATAGAATCGCCTAAAGTTTTAGCACATTTAACAGCTCCGTTTCTCCATTGTTTTTTTATTCTTTCAATGAAACTATTGATCGATATATACAGGTGCTTATTTATTCCGAGCTTTACTAATGCCCAGACATTTTCACTCGGATTAGTCTTTGAGTTTTATAACCTGCTGGGGTCTTTTTTAAAATATCGTCACTTATTAGTCACGGTTCCATTGAATGTATACCAGCCTCCTTAAATATTCTTCGTAGTGTGGTTTTGCTAATTTTTATATCTTTCTGTGATAATCTAAACACAACTTGACCGACGGATTCAGTTGAATGTTGAGCTACCATCGATTGAATCGTTGCATATTGTTTTCCGATATAGAGCGGATTTTTGTGAAGTCTACATTTTACAATTACCCACTGTTTCGTATAAATACTGTGAAATATCAGCATTTGACATATGTGAGGGATAACTCTACCTCCATGGAAAGATGATTTCTCATATTTCCTTTGAAAAAATGTTCATTTTCTATTAAGTTACAAATTGATAACAGATGACGAGTACGATTAGTCCGTTCAAACACAGAAAAAAGATAAAACAAAGGTCATTATTGAATAAGAAAAGGAGGCCACGTCCACTTATGGCCAGTACTGTATTTCTATGCAAACCGCTCAAAAAATCTCGATCGGCATATGTTCTTATCAAACGTCTAATTTAATCCTTGCATGGTGTGAAGACAAACATATTTGCCAATATAGGACGCCGATATTATATTCTTTGATAAAGGTGAGAATATAATGTAGAAGTTGGTTCATAGAATAACGATGACATGTTTTTATAGAATCGAAAACTTCATAATTTGTGAAGCCGCACTGGTAGTCACATAGATATTACCAAATTTATCGATTTTGATTGCAAGTGGAAAAAAAGTCTCCAACTTGTCCAGACGATGTTCATCACCAACTATCATTCTTCTTTGATTATTAATGATATTGTATTGAAAAATAGCTTGATCATATGTATCGGTATAATAAATATTTCCATTGCAATCTGCTGTTATTCCAACTGCATAGATCAGATTTTCTACCAGTGTAGTACCTTCAGTTGCATTGGCCAGCCATTTTTGTATGCGGTGATTGCTAAGATCGACAATATACAAAGTTAGATCATTGTATATATAAAAAGCGCATGGATTGAATAAATTATTTGGACCCCTTCCACCTAGTTCACTATTTCCAGCTGCTAGGACTTTTTCACTATAGTTTGTAGATGATAACCATTTTCTTATATAAAATCGCGTTCCAACGTAAATATTCATATATTTATCTAATGTAAGATATGAGAAATAAGTTCCGAATCCATATTCACCTTTTTCACTCAACAAAATTCGACCAATTTTATCGTTTTTATGCCATAATTGAACGCGATAGACGGCTGGTTCACTTAGATCTTTTATTTCATATTTATCGTAATCCAGAATATACATATCGTCTGTTCGAGTGTCAACAAAAATACTTTGAGGTGCTATGAGACCTTGACTAGCAACTGTAATTCCAATTGTACCCTGACCATTATCAATTGGTGCAATTAATGAATATTTTTGAATACGATTATTACGTGTATCAGCCACATACAAATTGTCATTAACATTGTCAATAAATAAGTCTCGCGGTTCACATAATGAGTTTTCATTTGAATTACACCCATTAGCTCGATTAACAAGAAAGACACCTTTTTGATTCCATGTAGCATTAATCAATGGGACAGGACAAACGAATGGTGCCAAGCTTGTATCTGTGTGCGCTGAATAAACAATAGAAAAAAGAGAATTTATTTTTAAATTCAACATGATTTCTCAAAAATATCAATGAAAGATAGATAGCTTATGTGCGCAGCGGCTGAAGAAAAGGTCATTTTATTAGAAAACATACGGGGTATTGCAAGGGGGAAAAAGCGCACTCCGCCACTCCAGCCACTCCGCGGAGTAAACCGCACTCCATCGCACTCCATAGCACTCCTGCACTCCGTACAATGGTCCGGAGTGGCGAAGTGCGTTGTTTTCTTTTAAAATAAAATAGTGATATTTCTCTCAATATTCTTCCCCCAAAACGCAACAATCCGA